ATATACAGAGTGTCCGGAATCTTTTGGAAGCGAAAAATTGTGAAGATCAATCAGATCAAATTGGAAAGGAAAGTCATGTGCCATTTTGCAAAAATCACAATAGTTATTAAGTTATTAAAGTTGAGAATTGGAAATGATTAAAAATGACCGCATTTAGAGGCTCTTTTAATTGATAACTTGAAAATTTGCAAAATTATAAAGGACTTTTTTGTTCAGAATGACCTAATCTACAATTATATGACGGCTACTGTGTCTAGCGATAGATGTGAGTATATTGAACTTTGAACCCTGAATCTTGAACCTGTTACTAGGCATAATAGTCGTCATATAATTGTAGATTAAGTTATTCTAAACAAAAAAATCCTTTAATATTTTGCAAATAAGTACACAAATTTGCAAGTTATCAATTAAAAGAGCTTCTAGACGTCTCAATAATTAATAACTTAATAATTATTGCGATTTTTGCAAAATCATTTTGCAAGATCATTTGACTTTTCTTTTCAATTCAATCTGATTAATCTTCACAATTTTTTGTTTCCAAAAGATCTCGGATGCTTTGTATATACATATACAAAATGTTTAAAAAAATGATTGCAAGTCATTAAAGGCAGATAGTACCCAAAAATGGAAAAAAAATGTTTTAATAAACATGAGTCGAAAAATCAACAATCGGAGTTATGAATAGTTATTTATTTTAATTAAAGCAAGTCATTCACTTAGAATAATACTTAGAATAAGATGTCGTTCTTATCGTATTGTGAAAATTTTGTGAAAGCTTTCCGTAACTATTTACTTTTCACGAATGATATGTTACTAACGTTTGCTTGGTGAAACGTATGTATAAATAGGAAGAAAATAGATGTTTGTTTACATTCCGAGCAAGAAACTTCTTTTTCAGAAAAGAATCTTTTTAAAATATAGTGTTTTCTTTACCGATAAATAACATGTAAACGAATTACATCAGAGAATACAAAAGCACCAGAAGTCATTTGCTTTAATTAAAATAAATAATTGCTCATAACTTTGATATTATTAATTTTTTGACCTATATTTATCAGGACTTTTTTTTTCGTTTTGTGAATACTATTTTACCCTTAAAGTCCTGAACCTCTTTTTTCAACACCCTGTATAACTTATATATAATTTTATACAATCATTTTCAACGAGATATTGTTTTGTCTAAACCTTTCTTTTTCACATTTCATTCTACATGACGGAGAGAGAGAGAGAGAGAGAGATGAGCGCCACACGAACCGCTTATAAAGGATACAATCTTAGCACATCGATTGATAAAGTTGCTAGCAAATGTAGGTCGACTGCGAAATCAAAAACGAAGAACATTCCCAGACGTGGATGCGTGTCGCACTGCGTGTGGCTATTAGCGGCTCGCATCATCGTAATGAACGATCGCAGCGCCGTGTTATTAACGTAATAAACATACAGGGAAGTGATGATAAATTTAATTAACATAATCAAGCCGCGGCGATACCGCCGGAGATAAGCAGCGCGATAAGAACCAGTCAAGCGGGACAAGCGGAACAGCGCGAAAACACCTTGCGCGACACTCGTCGTCGTTGTCGTCGCCGTCGTCGTTGCTTCTGTAATCACAGGCTGAGCATCGCGCTCACGCGACTGCGAGTTCTAACAGCGTTCGGATCCGCGCTTACAGCCGACCGGCTGCAGGCACACTTCGATGCAGGAAGTTTCAGCATGAGGATTCGAGCGCCGATGTGGAAGCCGTCGCGCGCTCAGCATGTGTGTGTGCGTGTGTGTGTGTGCGTGCGTGTGTTATTGATTAATTTCCGACAGACGGACAGACGGACAGACAGACGCGTCGCGCGATCGTTCAGACGGTCCTGGCTCTCGTCGTGCGGCTCGTGCCGCGATTACCCCGCCGAGCACGCCGGCATTAGCGGCCAGAGGCGGCGGCGGGAGCTGTACGCGAGCGCGAGATCGTCAGTTTCCGATTGAGCGTGAGGGGCTATTTATCGCTAAATCGTATGGATTATCCCGGCTCTCTAATGGCCGGGCAGAGCGAAAACGCACCGGCACTTAAGTTTTCATTACAGCCCATGTACCCCTATGGAGAGAAAACCTCTCTCCCTCTCTCTCTCTCTCTCTCTCTCTCCCCCTCTCTCTCTCCCCCTCTTTCCCTCCCCCTTTGCCTCTCCGTCAGCCGCTCCTCCTCTCGCCCGTGGACACGCTCCGCGCAAAAAAGGGTACTCGATGCGAATATACGGTAATAAAGTTGATTTACAGCTAATGATTCCCGACGCGGGGTATTAAGGACGGATGTTTCAATTACGCATTACGACTCGACTGCTTATTTCCCGGAGTAATTCGCTGTGACGCGACGCGCGCGACGCGACGCGACGTGACGGTGCCGCGTGAAAATAGCGATCAGCATTTATGGCCGCTTCAATTAATTATCGGCGATCACGCTCGCCGGTGATCCGCCTCGAGCTCGCGAATGGGTAGAAGGGAATCTGAGGTATGTTTTCGCGAAACACTTCGTTCCTGTATTTATCGTGAAGGTGGCACAGCGCGAGAACGAAATCGCGAGACGTTCCTTCTAGAGCGTAGCTTCCCCTGAATTTCACTGAGATCAGAGAAATATATTGCATTTAAGAAAGAGAGAATAGTCTTCTCTTCTGAGAGCAGCCGAGTGTATCCTCCAGCGTTCCGAAATTTCCGCGTTAACATTCTCCGTCGCGAATGAATAAACTTAAGTGACGTTATTATTGTCGGAATAAAGTTCCCCGTGCAGTTGTGTGATGAAACATTTTGCGTAATGATGGCAATTTTCGTCCGCAGATGAGATTACATTAGTGCAAACTACTGCGCGTGTTTGAGGCCAGGCATGTCGACTCGCTATGACAGATCAATATAATCTAGCATGATGTCAAAAATTTCAGGTCGATAGCTTAACCTGAGAGGGAGAGAGAATCATAGTGAGTTACATTAATGTCAATAAAAAAGAAATAATGTCGCTGTATTCTAGCAATCGCCTTTGCGTTGTTTTTCTTTTTGAAGCAATAATAATAAACCGTATCATTACAAAATGATTTTTAAACGACGAAGTATTTCTCAGACTTCACTGGCATGTGTAGTTTACTGTGATTTACTCTCTTTGTATTTCGATTATTATAGGAAAAAATACACGGTTTGCAAAATCGTACATGGCACACAAAACTGAAGAAAGATTATCTCTATCTTTTTTAGTACAAACGATTACAATGATTAATTGAAAAGTTTTCACACCGAAATTCTGAACAGTCTGCCGACGTGTCTCGGTTTCAGGATGTTTAAAGAAAAAGGATTCAGAACTTTAAGGACAGATAATACGATATTACACTTTATGTTTGATGGATATTACATGTATGGTGTATGATAATATGACGATATATATATATATATATATATATATATTGTATAATAGTGCATTTTATAATTATATTTATAAGAAGAATTCTATATATACATATACAGGGTGTCCGAGATTTGTTGAAAACGAAAAATTGTGAAGATTAATCAGATCAAACTGAGAATCAAACTGAGAAGAAAGTACCATTTTGCAAAAATCGCAATAGTTATTAACTTATTAATGAATGAAAATGACCACATTTATAGATCCTTTTATTTTAATTGACATATTCAGGATTCAGAGCTCAAAATTCAATACACTCATATCTATCGCTAGACACGATAGCCATCATATAATTGTAAATTAGGTTATTCTGAACAAAAGAGTCCCTTTTGCAAATAAGTACGCAAATTTTAGTACACAAGTTATCAATTAAAAGAGCTTCTAGATTATGGTCATTTTTAATCATTAATAACTTAATAAACTATTGGACTTTTTTCAAAATGATCACTTGACTTTTCTTCTCAGTTTAATCTGATTAATCTTTACAATTTTTCGTTTCTAAAAGATCCCGGACATCCTGTATATACATATACAGAATGTTCAAAAACAAGGTTTTAAAGGCATTAAAGGCAGATAGTACTTACAAAATTGAAAAAAAGAGTTCTAATAAACACGAGTCGAAATATTAATATTGTCGAAGTTATGAGCAGTTATTTATTTTAACTAAAACAAGTGATTCACTTACTTCTAGTGCACGGCTATACATGAAATGCATTTCTGCCATTTCTTGATTAGAGCAATATATAATTTCATTCTTACCGTACTTTGTGAAAACTTTGAAAGCTTTTCGTAACTAATCATTATTCACGAGGATATGCGACTAACAATTATTTGTTGAAGCGTGTGAATAAATAGGAAGAAAATAGATGGTTGTTTACATTCTGAGCAAGAACGAAGAGACTTTTTTAGGGATTCCTTTAAAGCATGATACTGTCTTCGCCGATAAACGACACAAACAAATTATGTCAGAGAATACAAAAGCACCAGAAGTCAGTAAGTCACTCGCTTTGATTAAAATAAATAATTGTTCACAATTCCGAAAATATAAATTTTCCGATCCATGTTTACCAGGACCTTTTCTCCTTCATTTTACAAGCACTATCTACTCTTAAAATCCCGAACCTTTTTTTTTTAAACATCCTGTATATTGCCGCTAATCGATATTAAATATTACTCATCGATTCATCGGGCGATGGTCGTGACCTACGCAAGCACACTGAGTCTCACATCCTGCCGCGTGTTCCGACCCGATGACCAACGACCCCTCGCTCATAATCGCGTCCGAAAGAGATTTCCTCGCGCCGCGAGCAGCCGAGGAGCTGCTGCAGTCGATGCAGGCAACCGATCATTATCGTTGTACGCGCGTAACTTTGAAGCCGCGAGCCTCGTAAACACGTACGTGCGTGTCGAACAATGAGGCAGGAAACGGCAGAAAAACAGAGGTTTGAAGACAGACGGCGGCGGGAGGGAAGAGGGAGGCAGGAGGAGGCAGGGGAATGAAGGCCGCGGGTTCAGAGAAAATGCATATATATGTATGTGTGTGTGTGTGTGTGTGTATTGTTGAAACGCACAGGTGGTTGGCCTGAGGAGCGTCAGTAGCAACAGCGACATTTGGCCGCTGGAGAGACCAGAGGGCATGCCAGCCATCCAGTCGTTGGAAGTGATGTGCGGAAAAGACCACATGGACGTCCACCTCTCGTTCTCGCAGCCTTTCGAAGGCATCGTCTCGTCCAAGGGTCAACACGCGGACCCGCGATGCGTCTACGTGCCACCGTCCACCGGCCAGACGTTCTTCTCTTTCCGGATAGCGTACGCCATGTGAGTTTACGCGATTAGCGCTTGAGTGGAAAAACGAAAAGACGTAATGATACTTCCGTAAGTACGTATAATCGCGGGTATCGTTGAAGCCGAGCATGAGAGCGTGAGAGGATTTCTCCTGTCGAGCTCTCTCTCTCTCCCTCTCTCTCTCTCTCTCTCTCTCTCTCTCTCTCTCTCTCTCTCTCTCTCTCTCTCTCTCCCTCTCTCTCTCTCTCTCTCTCTCTCTCTCTCTCGCTCTCTCTCTCTCTCTCGCTCTCGCTCGCTCGCTTTCGCGTTTATTCCTATTCCCGTAGCCGTGGAATTAACGATATTAAAGCGCGAGATTGTTCCGCTGGTGCCTCATTGTGTTTCGATAAGCTACGCTGTCTACCAGCCGCGAGCTATGTGCTCGCAATCTCGACTAAACGCTAAGCTAATTCCCGTTTTCGGCCTTTCGGTTGATGCAGGCTAACACAGCGTGAAACCATGTCGAGGGAAAAGATATTGCGTCAAGATGAGAAGGATGGACTAATGACAACCATCCGCGAAATATTAGACTTGATAATTTCAACAACACGATAACATAAAGGATGTGACGTTGTCCGACAACGTAACTCTTGTCAGGCGTTTTTTGGACTTTTAACGTGAGCAAAACACTAATTAGTAGCTGACGTATCAAATTTGAAAAGAAAATTTTGTATCCAGATTTTACAAAATAACAATAATTTTCATTCACGGGAAATTCTTTAGTGTATATATGTATATAAAAAGAATTAGGTGAAGCATACAGAAAAAAGAAAGAAAAAGCCAATGTAATAAATAAAAAAGCAATGATAATTAACAAATAGAATTAATTATATGAAATAAGAGAATTTTAAGAAATTATCAAGAAAGAGAAAAAAAATTTTAAGTGATCGCTCAAATTTTAATTTCTTAAATTTTGAGAAAAATTATAAGAAATAATAGAATAGAAAAAACGAAACTAGAAAAGATGGAAGAGATAGTTTCTTTTTTAAATAAACGAAATAATGAAATAGGAAGATAAAAACAGAAAAAAAGAAAATGATGTAAAAGAATATTTTTCTTGGGTGCTGATGATGTTTTAAAAATGTGTAAAGTATTTACAAAACGTCATGGAGTTAGCATGTAGAGAATGAGGAAAAATCATGAAATTGTATTTGATTTAAACACGCAGGATTTATGCATACGATATGCATATTGAAAAAATATCAATTTATTTTGTAGAATGAAAAACAATCGAAAACTCGATGACGAGAAAGGATTTTTCTGTTATGCGGTCGAAAACATTTACCTGAATGTTCGGCTTCATTAAAATTCGATTGATATAACTAAAAAAAAACTCGATTGAATAAACAGCTCTCGCAGGGATTTTTATGATCCTACAATCGACTTTTAATTTGATCCTTAAAATAATAGAAAATCAAAAATTAATAGAAAATCAATTACACAAACCGAGTTCTTTTTCCATGCAGACAGTATATTGTACAGATATTTAATATGTATACCCATTTAGCTGAATATTTCGCGTAAAGTCAAACAATTCAACTGTAAAACCACCAGTTCATTTTTTTAATTGATTTTAGTTTTAATTAATTTTAAATTAAAATTTCAGCTTCAAAATTTTTTGAAAAGTTTTTTATGAAAATTACAAAAACATTTATTTATTTATTTACAGATTTTATGATAGTATTCTTTGATATACATAATGAAGAAGCAGAAAAATAAACTATAAAGAAATCTCCTAAAGTTAATAGAATAAACAATAGTCTACACATCTGAATGCCTCAATTCGAGAAAGCTCGTATTAGGCAATGTCTGAAAGCGTTAGTTAATTGACCTAGAATATTTATTAGATATCGTATAAATTCGATTAGAAAAATTGAGTCTGTCATATGTTATACGTTGAAATCCAACATGGAGGACATTGCCTGATTGAGCTCTATCAGTCACAAGAGACACAAGTCCGTTAGTGTACTTGAATATTCTGCTACCTGAAGGCCAGCGAAATTTCGATTGTAAGAACCGAGAAAGAAAGATCCCCGTAGGATACCAGCCAATCAGCCCTCAGCTATCTCAAGCGAGGTTTCGCGCGGCTGAATATTCAGACGAATATTTCTTCCATCATGATAATCATTTCCCGTGATCGAATTTTCGTCTAGTCCCCCATTCAGTTATACGAGCTGAGATCTTTCCTTCCAGGCGAGCACGTGAAAACAGTGAATACCCGCGGAATTTCCGGGCAGACATATTGACTCAGCCGCACGAGTCGCGTTTAAATCTTCCAAACTAGCCGTATTGGAAGATTTCTGACCTCGGCGAGGTGCCGGCGCGGCCGCAGCCGAGGCTCAACGCGGATAAAAGAGACAGACATATCGTGTTACTTGACGCATTCTCACCACGTAGTCTCGCATATTCACGCACATTCTCACCGCTCACTGCGCAGATGCGGAACGAAGCCGGACATGCACGGGCAGTTTTACGAGAACACGGTGGTCGTCCAGTACGACAAGGATCTGCTGGAAGTTTGGGACGAGGCCAAGCGATTGCGATGCGAATGGTTCAACGATTACGAGAAGACCGCGTCGAAACCGCCGATGGTTATCGCGGACCTCGACGTGATACAGCTGGACTTCAGAGGTAATACAGAGCGCCTTACGATTATGCTCCCATCAAACGCCACCTCTTAATGGAGATAAATCGCCGGCGCGATACTCGCCGAGTATCGCGCCGCCGCCGCCGCCGCGGCGATACTATCGAGACTACCGCGTGACATCCGCGCGCGTGCACGAGGCGCCGCCGATCGCCATCTGTTGCTGTAAACAACTCTCAAGTGCAATCGCGCGCGCCAGCACGCGCTCGGACTTTTATGAGATATCGCGGTCGAACAGCCGAGCGATCGCGGCCGCGCGGAGCAGCTTTTTTGTTCCTTTTCTTTTTTTTTCCTTCCTTTTTTCCGGCCTTTTTCTCCCTATCGCGGTAACGAGCGCCAACGGTGAAATTAATACGGTCAGAGTGATCGCGCGAGCCACACGCGAAAACTCGCGCGAGCATTCGCGGTTTACCGCAGGCAGATTCCGTGGTCACATCGGTTAATTTCAGTTTGCGCGCACGCACGTGCATACGTGCGTGTGTGTGCGTGCGCGTGCGCGTGCGCGTGTACTCGTCGCAAGCGGCGCAAAGCGAGCGTGCCACGTGCGACGACGCAACGTGCATTACGGCGAGACGCTATAATCCCCCACCCTCCCCCCCGCCCCGAGAGATAACAAGAGCGATCGTGTGGAACTGAATGATACGCCCCCGACGTCGCGTCGCTTTCTTCGCCGTTGAGACATATATAAGCGAAATTGCGAGACCCCAGGCTGCCACCTCTGTCCCTTGCCGCGGTCATCTCGACAAAAGGATGCTAGAAATAGGATGTGTTGAAGATACACGCGAAATACGGGAAGGAAAAGTGTTGCTCGAAATAACGTGGCGATGAACGGGTCGAACACTTTTCGGTCGAAGGGAACTTCTGTTTCTTACAGCCGAATTTAAATAATGACTACTAAACTACAGATTCCGATTGCCTCAAACGCAACCGTCTTTGATCCGCTCATCGTCACGTTGATTTAATCGATCCTTTTTCCACGTACATTAAGAAAGGTAAATGTGTACATAAGGTCCACCTCCTCAAAAATCCATGACTTTGACATATGTTGTTAAGGACATATTCCTGAGTGTTATGCAAAAGATTTTTATCTTGCAGTATGGAAAAATATCAGCTCGATAATAGACACAGTTATCGAATACAGCGTAATTCAAAAGCGCATTTACAGCGCGACGCCTATAGCTCTGTATAATTATAATTAAACAATGTAATCACCTAACCAGTTTCTATTGTTACATATGGATGGATTTGATATACGATGCTTTTTGTTTCTGCCCAAAGAACAACTTAAAAATTGTTGAAAGTAACGAAAGAGGAGGGGAGAGGGGGTTTCAAAAATGTTTACATTTTGCGAAATCTGAATACACACTTGCAAAGAGTATGAAATAAACTACAACTTTCATGTGAACCATTTTTGCATATACCTCGTACCTTAAAAAAGATATACGCTGAAAATGAAATATATAGTTTTTTTCTTCGAAGGGTGGTTTCACCCCCTCAGATTGGAATTTCGCACAAGCAAAGAATAATTTTGCATTACGGACGAACTACTTTACTTCCACACAAAGTTTCAGAATCTTTTGAATTTCCTGGTTCCCTAACCTTCCTTGTCCGTAAGATGACCTCAGCAGCAACGTGCGTCCAAGTCGAGATGATTGTACGGAGCTGACTCACTTAAACCAAACAATTACCATGAAATCTTATTGGAAGAATTGACTCGAAGCAAGAATAAAAACTGCCGCACTCAGAGTCGCAATAGTAAATGTTTAATTAAAAACTGTAGCGGGCTCTTAACACATGTACGAGTGAATATTTCCATCGATGAGAGAAATTTGTTCCCGTGACGGTAAAATATGTCACAGCCTCGGGCTTCGATTTCGAAAGAGAATATTACAACTCATCAATCCGCGATGGAAGAATCCACCGTGCGGCAATAAAAAGCCGCTCGAGTTCGAGCGACCGGGTTGTCAGCACCCCCGATTAGGATGACCATATCCCAGTCATAAAAAAAGAGTAAAAGACGGGTAAAAAAAGGAGTATAAAAGAGTACTAATTACGGTCCCAAAAGAGTACAGTAAGTAGAACACAAAATCATATGAAAGTCAAGGTGACGTTAAATAATATAAAAATTATATCATTTTGACGTCAAAATGATTTTATGTTTTATCTGGGACTAGTGATTAATGGATTACTAGGTATAATATTTAAAATAAAACATAGCGAGTATTAAATAAATCGAGAAACATTAGTCAAACACATATATTTTATTATATCATTAAGATATTTTATAATTATATTTTGCACTCCGTACATCGCCTGACAATTTCGGTTTTCACTGTGTCGTTACCAAAGAGCGGACATCAGCGCCGTTTTCCGCCCACTCACAACGCCAGAGCGCTACGCGCCAGTGTCGATTGTGCTGCACGATTTATACGAGGGCAGTCTGAAAAGTTCTCGGCCTAACAATGAGAGAACATTGTTGTGCCGTGAAATATGTTTTATTTTTCGATATAATCTCCTGAAACTTCAATACATTTATTCAAACGTTTTTCCAATAATTCAATATCATTAAAGTGTGATTCCGGAAGGTTTTTCTCGCTCTGGTGTATAGTGGTGGATCCAAGTTTCATCAACAGTTATGAAACGACGCTTGAAATCCATTTTATTTTGCTTAAAACGATCCAAAACGTTTGCTTAAAACGATCCAACACGTTTGAGAAATATGCACTCGAATTGCGTTTTTGGTCAATTTTTAGCAAATGCGGCACCCATCTTGCACAAAGCTTTCTCTACTGGTGCTACTACTACGAATGACTTGACAGAACGAATAAGATTTTAAATGGGTTTATATGAGTTTAATATATCAGAGATGCCACTTTCCAATACAATTATAGTTTGACAGTTTCTAATGCCATGTATGTGTCAGGTGGAGAACTTTTCAGACTGCCTACGTAGTAACTAGCGGTGCACCGTTGCGCAGGCAGAACCTCTACGCACAATCGATATTGGCGCACTCTCGCGGCGCACAAATGCTGTGAGTGATGAAAACGTCACCGAAGTCTGCTCTTTGGTCATTATCGACAAAGTATAATTAACATTACGAAAAAAAGAGTACGTACAAGAGTACGATACGTAAAAAGTAGGGAGTACTCTTTTTACCACCTTAAAAAGAGTATATATACTCTTGAAAGAGCACATATGGGTCACCCTACCCCCGATGGAACTTTGCTCAAGGAAAGGCAGCGAGTAAGCGACATGTTTCCGTCATTGTGTCGCAGGCGACAACGTGGACTGCTGGATGGAAATCCAGCACGGCAAAGGCCCATGGGCACCACCGGTATCCGGAATCGTGCCGCTCGGCTCCACTCTCACCCTGGTCGTCGCCATAAACGATTACCGAGGTAACGAGCGACACGCAGCTCTCTCGAGGCTTTTACACGAGGCTTTCCGGCCGACCGGCATACGGGGGAACGGGCGCTAACGTAACTGTCTGTTGTTAAACCGAGCGCAGGTGAGTTCGACATGCGGGTCAAGTCGTGCGTGGCTTCGGACGGCGGCGGTCACACGATACAGCTGAGCGACGAATTCGGCTGCGTGCTGAGACCGAAGATGATCAGCCGGTTCTTGAAGGCGCGTGGCTCGGACGACCGTGCGACCGTCATCACCTACGCCTTCTTCCACGCCTTCAAGTTTCCAGATGCGTTGAGCGTTCATATCAAGTGCAAGGTACCGTGCGTGGTGCGCTCTCGCTCGTGAGAATCTCGTGTTCCTGTTCGGGGGAAGCAGCTCCTAGATCGCAGCCTCATGCGGCCTCGAGTGGAAAGCAGATAAAAGCTCGCCGACGAGCGAGAAACAATCGCGTCTTTCTGTTACCGAACAATTAAATTTCTATTACCGCAAGCAAAAACTTGCCTGAACATTCGACTATAAACATTCGTGTTGAAATTCGTTCGAGACAACTGAAAACGATATTTATATGCTGCATCTGCTCAATGACGCTTGCTAAACTGTCGTCGATAAGTGTGCGCAGAACGACATTATGTGTTTGGTTGATTTAAAAATTAGCTACATAAAGATAAGATGATATGTATATTCCTTTAACATTTCGTCTCGATTGTATCAGGTACTTGAATAAGTTTCCGCCGTTTTTCGTTCAAATTTATATAATTTAGTAAAATAGAAGAATAAACAATACATCATTCAAAGTATTTCCCGTCGTTAGCTATAACATTTTGCCACTTTTCAGGCAACAAATGAATTCCGCGATAAAAAAAAATGTACCTCTTTTGAGCTGATCCACTCATCGAGCCAATTTTTCATATCCTCACAAGAAGTGAAGTGCTGCTCCGAAAGACCATGTTGCATCAATCGAAAAAGATGGTAGTCCGATGGCGCAAGGTGCGCCGGTGAATACGGCGGGTGAGGTAACGCATCCCATCCGAGCAGTTCTAATGTTTTCCTTAACCGGCCCCGCTACATGCGGTCGAGCATTGTCATGTTGAAAAATGACTTTGTCATGCCTTTTGGCACATTCTCGACGTTTTTCTTTCAATGATCGGCTCAAATTGACTATTTGTTCTCGATAGCGATCAGCAGTGATGGTTTTATTCGGTTTCAGCAGCTCATAGCTCATATATCACACCTTTTTGATCCCGTCAAATACTCAGCATGACCTTTCTTCCACGAATATCCCATGAATATATTTTGCCGTTGATTTCGATGGCTGACCAGGCTTTACTAATGATTTTTTTTCTTTTCGGATTATCGTAATGAATCTATTTTTCATCGCCAGTAATGATTCGGTGCAAAAATGACTTTCTTTTCTGTCTTTGAAGCAATAATTCGCACATGGTTAAACGTTTTTCAACGTCTCTGTCTTTCAAAACATGTGGCACCCAGTAGTCTTGTTTATGAATAAATCCTATTGCTTTTAAGCGTTTGCTTATAGTCGATTTATCAACATTTAGTGATTCCAACAATTCCTTAAGCGTTTGATGTGGATCTTCGTTCAAAAATGTTTCCAACTCTTCGTCTTCAAACTTTTTTGGTGCACCACAGCGTCTTTATCTTTCACGTCGTAGTCGCCATCTTTAAACCGTTGAAACCATTCTCTACAACTTCTTTCGGATAGAGCATTGTCACCATAATGTTTCACGAGCGATTAAACCATGATTGTAGTACTTCTATACGGATGTATTAACATCTTAAATAACATGCACACAGTACTGCTAACATCATCTATCAGTAAACGGCGGAAACTTATTCAAGTACTTGATAGATGAATTTCAATGCATGATGATTTTCCAGTGCAACCTTAATGCTGTTTGATTGACACGGTTTTAACGCAGTCTGCGACGAAATATTTCGATACTGTACACATTTGCAGCAATGTAAATTGAATTATCATAGATCATTTTGTAGAGATAACACTTTCTTTAATTTAAGATACAAATGAAAATAATATAAGGATGTCCCATTTTAAATGAGCTAAGTGAAAATCTCGAAAAATATGAAAGATACTAAGAAACGTTTCGGACAAAAGTTGTATGGTTTTAAAGAGGACATAAAACAATTATATCATTTTGTTTACAGATGGCGCCACTTTCGAGATATTCACTGATCATTATTTTTCTTAAATGGAACCTCACATTTTATTATTTTTTCGTATCATGTTATTTTCATATTATAATGTTTTATTATATCATCTTTTTCTATCAATTAATTCTTTAATTCTTTGCTACCAATTAATTTAAACAACTTTTGTCTGAGACATTTTTTTATTTGCCTAATATTTTTTGAGATATTTAAGGAAAACTTGATAACTTTTTCAATATTTAACTTACGATATCTCGCTAACTATTTGTTGGAAGAAAAAGTAGACTACTAGACTCTATTTAATCTCAAGAATATATTATTACAATAGTACCCTAACTTTTGTTAGTTTGATTTTGAAATTTCCAAAGGTCGATAAATTAACAAAAGTTAGGACACTATTGTAACAATATATTCTTAAGATTAAATAGAGTAAAAAAGGTCTAGTACTATTTTTTTCTTTCGACAAATAGTTAGCAAGTTATCGTAAGTGACATGTTGAAAAAGTTAGCAAGTTTTCTTTAAATATCTCAAAGAATATTAGGCAAATGAAAAAATGTTTCAGACAAAAGTTGTTCAAATTAATTGGTAGAAAAAGATACTATTATATAATAAAATATTTAGATTTCCATTTGAGAAAAGTAATGATCAGTGAATATTTCGAAGGTGACGCCATCTGTAACCAAACCGATATAAGAAAAAGATACTTATGTCCCTCTTAAAACCATACAACTTTTGTCTAAAACGTTTCTTAGTATCTTTCATATTTTTGCGGATTTTTGCCTGGCTCGTTTAAACTCAGGAACACCCAGTATATTCGTGTCATCCAGTTAAAAATAAGTTGATGCCAGAACTTCGTCTAGACGATCATCTGTAAAATTTTATGCAGATAACAGCGAAAGCGCTCCTGTAGAATATCGAGCTAAGAATCTTTCTATTGCTAACAATCGCGCGAGTTTTTATCTGGTCCCTCAGCAAGAATAAATTCAATTACACGAACCAAAAGTTCTCCTTCCATGCGATGAATCGCCGACTAACGAATCTCGAACTATTCCCGCGGAAAGGTGGAGATATGCCGACACGGTTGCTTGGATCATTGTCAGCTGAGCGGTTCCGTAGCTCACTACGTTCAAGAGAGAAAAGATCAGGTGCAACCGCAGTACATACAACAGAGCACCGCGGCTTCCATCGTGCCGCCCGACGACAACAGCAGCGCGGGTAAGGAGCACGTGGACGCAGCGATGAACGCGGACCAGGCTGACGGTTCTCTATACGACGACGTGATCCAGAACGGCGATGAGATGACGTCGATCGGCGGCCATTTCCTGGACGTGGAAAAATCAATCCCGAAGGCGCAGGCACAGACGAGCGATCGGCTACCGCCGAGCACAATCGAGCCGCATCCTTATGAGAGCAGCGAGCTTCACTCCGACAACGCCGACATGTCGAAGCCGTTTATGGTAAAATTGTCAAAACTAGGGCTATCAGTTGTTTATTTACCGACTTATCTATCTATTTACACGCGAAATTCGTACCTCGTAATGCGCGAAAGTAAAAACGGAAGTAATCCACGAGATCATTGTCTTCGTTTAACCAATTGCTAAAATGTTAAATTGGCGTACGCTGTAAAAAGAGCGCCTGACAAGCAATGTTTAAAAGTACCGGTAGAATTATAAAATGCAGCTCAATGAATCTAGAATATTTTTGTCATGTAGTATTAAATGTGTAGTATTGTACGTCGCGTGTTATGTTGTATACGGTTTCAATTAAATATGCGGATTATATTTGGAGCTTCCGTTCTTCATAAGCAATAGACCTCTGAATTTTTATCTTCCAAACGAATTATACGAATATAATACAATTTTGTAATATGGATATTCGAATATTCAAACATTTGAATCTTATTACGCTCATCAAAATTAATTTTCAAGAGCTCCGATACTCCGAAACTTCGAATAAAATTTTAAAATTCGAAACTTCAGAGTCGAATTATTCGAAGCTTGGAACTTCAACTTTAAAGCGTCGAAGTTTCGAATTTCTGAAACTTTGAGCCGTTGTATTCGAATACGACAGAATACGGGAGTGTGAAGATTGCACAGAATCTTCCTGCACACCTCAAAATTATTTTTGTCAAGAGCTTCGACATTCCGAATGTATAAAGTCAAATTATCCGAAGCTCTTTCTGAGCCCGAATTTCAAACGTCAATTATACCAGAGTTTCGCAGCTTTGAAGCTCCGGATTTCACGAGCGAATTATATCGAAAACATTCGGAGCTTCGAGTACACGAAATACTACCAAAGTAAGCGCTACCAGTCGCTAACCGGAGTACATGGACGCTCCTCTTCCAGGAACCACCGCGGATCACTAGATACGAAAGCGAGCAGGATCAATTTCCGCACGGGCCGCGTAACCTAGAGGAAGACACCGGTGCGATGCCGACGATGCCGCTGTCGGCGACCGCCCGGAGAAGACGCTCCGTGGTGGTGTCGGACAGGAAAGTGCGCAGCGCCGATGTCGGTGTCAGCGGCATCTACGAGGTCATCTCAGAGGCGGACCTGGCGTTCAGCCCAGACGCGCATACCGAGGCGGTGACGGTCTTCCAAGGTAGGATACGCGAGGAGGTGGTCTACGGGATCTGCTTGCCGATGCCGGGCTTCAGCGCGCTCTTCATCGTGGTCGCGCTCTCGGCGGTCGTGTCCGCCCTCGTGGCCGGCGCGATGCTGCACCGGCTGCAGGCGCAACGGGAGGCCGCCACTGGCAACAGGAAGAACGACGCCGACGGCGTGCACACGGATGCCAACGGCTGGCTGCCTTACGGCCTGCTACGCGTGCGCTGCACGTCGCGAGCCGCGCACCCTGAGGAGCTGCAGCAGGAGCAGGCGACGAGCGTGTCGCAGGTCGCCGCGTCGGACCCGTCGGTCGAGCGAGGTTGAGGACAGCTGAGGGGGCGAGCCCGTGTCGGTGAGAGACGCGGCAGACGCGCGTCTGGGAAGAGACAATGTGCAATAATACGCTGTACAAAGTATCGTAAGTGCGGAAGAGGGGTCGATTTTGCGCCGAGAGCGAGCAATCTCTCGTGAGTGGGCTGAGAGAGAGAGAGAGAGAGAGAGAGAGAGAGAGAGCTGCGTGTCGCAGGGGCGAGAGGGCAGGAGGAGAATGCGAGGGAAATTCGCGTCAGTGTCTTTTTCCGAATGTCCTCCTGCGAGTCGCGATCTGAGTTCGCATTGAGTTCACGCGAATCGCAGTCGTCGAGGACTCCGTCTCTCTCTCTCTCTCCCTCTCTCTCTCTCTCTCTCTCTCTCTCTCTCTCTCTCTCTCTCTCTCTCTCTCTCTCTCTCTCTTTCTCGGCACATGTTAGCGATATTTTCACGCTATTCTGTAATCCCGTGAGATGCGGCTTTTCGGTGCCTACGTCGCAGTGAAAGTTCGAGCGGATCGGTAAATCCTCCACATCTGAGGTCGTTTAACTCGAGCAGGATCAAGTGAGAACTCAGAAATGATATTTCTGCCGCCGCGATCGGAAACATTCGTCTCATAGATGTATTTTGTACTCATAGATTATTTTTTATATAGATGTAAAATTGTTCTCCATCTCCATTTTGATTCCTCGACTAAGATAACTTAAGATAGTGAGGTTAAAGGGAGGTACGCAATTACGCATTTTTCATGGTGGCTAATGTTTTTATCTAGTAAAAAGAAACATATAAAGTGGTAACAGAAAACAAAGTTTGTGCGCAATTTATATGTGCATTGACTGAGTTTTTCTATAAATCCATCGCCGAGATTGGTCGTATTTTGACTCAATGATGAGCGGCTGCCGAGAGAACTACACGGGTGCGCATGCGCGCGAGGGAGAAAAATTACATGTACTCTCTTATCTTACTCTACCTGGCACAAAGTAGAACAAGATAACGTTGTGTCTGTACATTCTATATCTATGGTCTGAACATTTGACTGATTGAAAACTCGCTTGAGGTAACAATTGATAGATTGAACTTTTTAATTGTTTTAAACATTTACGTTGCAGAAAAGTACAGGAATTCTCGCGTCTGATTTCGCCCGAATAACAGAAGATCAATTGCACAAGCCAAGCATTTCTTCCCATGTGCATTTCTCAATTTCAATCAAAAATAAGTTTCATGAGACTTTTCTTTCTTCCTTTTTCTCCTATCTCCCCCTTCTTTTCGAAAATACACCAACTACTTCGGAAACGTGTCTCTCCAAAGACCGGAGGTTTCGAAAGCGCCGCATTTACAGGAATTACAGAATAGACACGCCGACAGTAATGAGTACGAACGAGCGTTTCTTAGAAGCACTCGCAAGTCGGATCAAATCCGCGACAGCATAAAAAATCATGAGAGTATTTATCGTCGTACCGGTAGGTCGTGTTCTCGCGGTGATTTGATGCCTTAGTTTTATTAATAAAAACCGTGGTTATCGTGAAGAGGAAGTAACCTAAGAAAATAATATTGAAGGTAATCATAATTATTACATTTAGCAGTGTATACTCGTAAGAATGTGGAGATGTTTCTTGTCGTACAAATGACACAAAGATACACGACTACGATCGCTTTGGCGCGCATGCGCGCGTACGAACTGTCCTCTGGAGACGTCGGAGGTGTGCGTTTTGGAATCCCCTTCGGTCGATCCAACAACGAACACAACACGGCGGGATCATGAGGCGTCGCCTGCGAGATCTATATAAATAAGTGTTTCTCTCTCTCTTTTATTTAGATAATTAAACAGGTACTATTATCGTTTATACGAGTCTCTACTCCGAATCGTTCGGTTCTACTGCGTTTTTTTTTTGTGTATGCTGAGGTCGTTACGTTTCGTACGACGATTTGCTCTAAGGAGGCTAAAAGTTATATTTATCTCGGATGTGGCAAGATGTGTATAAAATATGTTAACAGTCACTGTTAGAAGAACTGACACGATGAAAATAAACGCGCGTTTTAATTCCCATCTCATCCGCTCCTGAATCTTCTCGGGCTTACACCATCCGCGGGATATTTGTCGGCGCAACGTGCATATAGAAGAGGGTTTTCCGCTTTATTCCTCTGCTCCTTCCCCCCACCTCCCCCCTCACTCGTTCCGCCTGTAAATTCCACATAAATGAACGGAATGTTTGAAACTGTGGAATGATATATCCAGCGAGAATATACGTTACAAGATATGAAACATTCCTGTGCGTTTTTGACAAGAGTCTTTCTTATCCGCAAGCCGCAAGCGTGCTACGCTTTACGATCGAGCCTCTCTCCTTCATTTTACTTCTTTCCTCTTTACGCCCGATACACACACACACACACACACACACGTAAGTAAGCGCATCGGAAATGTCTGTGCGGAGAGAGAAATGTCTTACGTGAAAATCCCTTCTCAAGATTCTCATCCGTTGCTACGAAAGCGTTCCTTTCCTCTTCGAGAGACGATCGGAAGAGACGTCGGTAAGCGACGTTAACGGACAATAAATCGATCTGAATTGACGTTCCCCGTTCACTTGCTCGTCCGAGTAACTCTGCGAAAGTTGCCAAGTAATAATATTTAAGAGAATGTTGTAGACCTTAAGTAACCCGTGCGTGTATACACGTGTAAAAAATTCGTCGTACACTTCTGTCGATCGAGCAATCCTTAATCTAAGCGTGCGTGAACGCCACTGAGAGAAAGAGAGAGAGAGAGAGAGAGAGAGGAGAGAGAGAGAGAGAGAGAGAGAGAGAGAATCTCTGAGGGCGCGAATTGTGGCGTCAAATGGGAAGTATCAAACGCGAAAAAGAGGAGGGAAACATACGCTCGAGCAAAAGTGAGGCGACGAATGCGACTATTTAGTTAAAAGATTATACTTTTATTTAATATAGATAAATACATTAGTGGCAATAAATATATTTACAGGACCTTGGATATATACGATCGAGCCCCGATTATAATTTATTTTTGTATACAACGGTGCTTGCGCACACACACACACACACACACACCCACACACACACACACACACATTGATTTCAACCGCTTTCATTGGTTAAATAAAGTAACAAAATAGATTAGTACACACGGGACAGTGTAGACACTGCCGAGGTGAAGACGCGCGACTTCCTGAACACCTTCCGTACTTTAAGCATCAGCGTTGAGTATCGATCGATTGAACAATTTTGGTTGATGATCAGACTTAGCACCGAGTAAATCGTGATTACACGCAGTGATCGCTTCGCACAATCGTATTATATTTATATAATTTATATTACTTTAATTTAGATGATTATGCGCTGATAATAATAATTGATTTCACCAATCGATGGAATTATCCAGAATTACATGTATGACAAATGTATGATAAATTTCTACGAAATTAACACCCTAAAATGCAAATCTTTATGAAGTTTACGCGCCGTTTGTTTGTTTGCGACTCGTCCATAAATAATTTCCTTTCGACGTGGGCAGATCATGGATAATTGATTTCAGTACGTAATCTGAAGAAAACACACCCAAGAGACGCTTATGAGGACCGGAATTGTCCGTTTTCTTTGTTTGTTTATAACTTCCTTTTACAAGATGGAGAAAAAAGTCTTTGATGAATAAATAGTGGACAATCGTTTCAATACGTAATTGAAAGGAGAACATTCTCAGGGATGCTCGTGACAATGTTCGTGCCGCTTTTTTTATTTGGTCGTAACTTCTTCTTGCAAAATGAACAAGAAGAAATTATTTATGGACAAGCGTGGACAAATGAGTGCCGCGTGAATTTCATGAAAATTCGCACTTTGGAGTGCTAATTTCACGTATCTGTATGACGATTGGTTAATTTTCATGATTAATTCGCCGATTATTTGTTTCAACTAAAATCTCAATCAATTAATGCCCAACACTGTCAAATACATACGACTATCTTACACTAGATAGGTCACGCTGCGAATATAAACTAATGACTGCACAATTATGTGTATAACTTATTGAGTCGCCTGTCACTTCCCTTGCATTTTTAAGAACTAATTTTTCTTAGCAATACTATGTCGATCGCGATAACAAGAACTGAATGACATTATCGGCTGTACTCTTTTTCGTTTTCGTACATCGTTCGATTTGTAAGGCACATGCGAGAGACGAGTCGTAAATTTAAATTTATCTCGTCACCAGATCGCGCCGCTTATTGAGGATGATTTATGTAGCACATCAGCGCGACATTTTGGCATAATCTTTCACAACTTTGAAGAAGCCATAAAAACGTCACGTGTATTAACGTGACGTGACGTGTATTAAGTACTTTTTTATCATTATCAAATATCCCTCATGCTCGACGCGGCACATTATCTGCTAACGTGCTCGTCGTTGATTGTATTAATTTACCGATTGAGAAACAATGATACACACACGCACACACATATACGATATCTTCATATTTCATAAATTTATTTTATCCGTATACCTCATATATATATATATATATGTATATATATATATATATATATTTATATGCACATGTAGGAGAGATTCAGCCTGTATACGAAATTCAGCCTGTAAGGTGTTTTTAAGGATGTAGGTACGTAATAAATAAATAATAATACAATATTATTAACAATAACGCACGTCATTAACGTTGCTTAAATGCTATGTATTATAGGCTATTCTCGTAAAATTTCAGCCTTATCGTTACCCGGACGCGCGTCGGGTAAAGCATTATTAAAAACGAAAGAGTCCCAAGTACCAAAAACCAAAAAAGGAGGAGACTAAGTACGAATACGCAGGTAATAAACGCTGAAACAGGTTTGATTATCTTTGACTAAATTTGCGGCGTATCGCCTGTGTGTCGTCTGCGAAGGCCTGAGCCGAAGTTTCTTTACGACGAAGCACAACTCCACGGAGGTCGCGTTATGGAACGAACGAAGGTGACGCAAATGCTACGGTGTATCACTCGGCTGTAAGACAATACCGGTAGTGATACTCCGTCGGATAGCCTCTACGAAAAAGAAAAAAAAAAAACAATTGACCTAAAGAAAAATAGACGAAATTTCCGATGACCAAGTTCCGCTGAAATTTCGATAATTCGGCCGTACTATTACAATACATGCGGAGCGCCCAAAGGTGTACGTACAAAAGAATACTGTCGGTTAATGGCCAAAGACGTTAAGAAAAGGAAAACAAAGCACAAACGAAACTTGTGCACTTCAATAAAGAGCATCCACCATGCTAAAAAGTAATTTGTCTTCCTAATCGGCCGCGTCGCGCGTATCCATTATGAATCTTGATTATTCGGTTAATTAGTCATTTTGACAGCTTGGAGTGTATCGATATCACATCATTTTTCTCTTTTATATTCAGACACGAGATGGAAATAATTAAGGGCAAACGCATTAATGACCCGTTGCTTGGAATTTATCTCAAATATTCAGCTTTGAGGTTAGAGTTAAACGGGATTTTGGAGTATATTGTATGGAATATATTGAGATTAGAAGTGCAGCACTTTTGTCTCTATAAATTTCAAAATGTATCCCCCTAACGTCCAGTAGAAGGTTTATCTTCTGGAAACTATTGAAGATCGACTCTTCCGGTTGGAAACTCATCGAAGTGAAAGTATTGCAATCTTTCACCAACTGCAATGTCACAAATATCACGCGATTTAAGTCTAAATCCAAGTTCTCGAGTATGCCACGTGAAATAACAGCATGTGAAGGCGTGAATAAAAGCATACAAAGAGTTTGAAGTACAACCATTATGAATGCTATTAACACATTATGGACCGTTACTCTTCCTCGAGACTGGCTTCCTCTGAAACTGGGTAAAGTTTGAAAGTAAAAAAACAAAAATTGTAAACGGGCTTTATCTTAACAGTCCTCGACTCGCGTATCAGTATCTCGAGCCAACGAGACGCCAACTTCTCCGAATCCATAAACATTCAGTGATAAATCAAAGTCCACGCCTGTGGAGCAAACTTTTAATATATTCCGTTTCCATTACTTAAAAATCGGTCTCTCGCACCGGCTGAGTCTTTATGTGTTAGGAGATCACGTGAATCAAGGAAGATTAATTAAGCTGGCTGAAACGCCAAAATTTCGTGTCCTCGATAATGTATTAACATGTTAACTATCACGGCCTGCTTGGGGGGACTCTCGTTTGTTTCCATGTGATTGTACAAAAGAGACTTTGTTCATGCGTGAATATAGAAAAGAAATTACCGCTATCGTGCGTATGTGACGTTGGCGGCGAACGTGTTAAATAGTATTACAAATTTGGAGTAGAGATGAGAGATTCAAATGAGAAATCGGTGCGTTACACATGTGCGACGTTAGTAGCGACCTATGCTAATACGAACCTAGAAAGACCAATGGAATTTCAGCCTGGTGAACGTAAAGGTGAATATTCCAACTAGTGAGTGTCCCAATTTTTTTAATAAATCAGCCGATATATGGATTCAAATTTATTCTAAATACGCGTTCGAATCGAATTGAAAAAATTGAAAATAATAAATGCTGTACCATCATGATTACAAGCGGACATGTTGGATAGTTGATAGTTAATATCAAATGTCTATTCGTCGGATCTGTGCGGTTACTCTTAAAATTCTACAAAACCAAACTGTTGATGAAAAATACAAAACTAAATACCGCAGTCGTTTCTGACAAAAAAACGTTGTAAAAAATTGAAATCTTTCCATAAATCAGGTAAATATGAGAGGATTAAAACCTCAGAGGTGCAAGAAGAGTTCAAGAAAGATATTTCTCCGAGGACTTGTCGACTTTGTGTATTCTTAGTTTTACACGTGTATTATTAATTTAGTACTTTTCGTTCACAATGAGGCCACTTGGTCGTTAATTGGGACATTCACCTTGAGGCTTCATTGCAGCTTAATGTACGCGCTTATAGCTAATTTCTCGACTTGGCGACGATCGAGACTGATAACCCGCTCGCGCTCGCGCCGACCGCGTTCGTCCTCCACGACCACGTCGACCTCCAACGACGTCTGGCCGCGAGGTAACGCGGGGAAACGCATAAACCGGTTCCCGAAGAGGAAAGAGGGTCGTGCAAATTTGGCGGACTCTCTCACCGGCACGAATATCGGGAGCACCGGAAGCTCAGGGTGTCGGCTCGGACCGTTTCGACACCTCTATGAGTAGAAGCACGTCCTCGAGGACTTCTTCGTCGTGGCGGCGTTCTGCTCGGCGTTGCAGAAGTCCGCGGCTGCGGACTTGTTGGCCCGCGCGGAAAAGGGCCTGAGACGCATGAAGAGATAGGCCGACATGACGCACGACGAGAGCAGAACGGCCAACAGCACGATGAGGGTGATGGCGAATCCCGGAGTGGTCATGCAGATCATAGTCGAGTTGGCCACGTTCTCCTGACGCTGCGGGAACACCATGGTCGGTCCGTTCAGCTCGCCGCCGCTGGCGCTGGCGGCGTTGTCATCGATGGAGAAGGTTAGGTCGCCCGTGGAGACCACCCGGATGATCCTGTTCACACCGACGGCTTTCTGCGGGCTATCCCGCACGATTTCGCGGGACTTCCTCCTCCTTTCGTCGCGCGGCCGACCGGCCGCCGGCTGCAGGTATGTCTCCAACGACAGCGGCGGCGGCAGGTCGAAGCCAAGCTCGGGATGACCGTTCGCCAGCAAATGATGGTGATGGTTCTCCAGGAGGCCCTGGGTCTCCAGGAACGGCGACGACTTGGAGCACTGCTCCGGGCACTGGTAACGGCAGATCTGGATGGTGCATTGGAAGTGCACCTCCATCGAGTCCGGGAACTTGAAGGCCTGGAAGTGCGCGTACGACAGCACCGACGCCGAGGCGCCAAAGTTCTTGATCTTGGTGAACTTGGACATCAACTTGGGCCGGGTGATGCAGCCGCGGTGGTCCACTAACTGTATCGGGGCCCGCTTGCCATCATGCGCCATGCAGTTCCGCACGAGCATGTCGAACTTGGAGTCGTCATCCTTGATCGCCAGCACCATCGTCATCGTCTGGCCGATCTTCACCAGGCCCGAAACCTCGGACGCCCAGGGCCCCTTGCCCACTTGGATCTGCATCCAACAGCCAACGTTATCGCCGGCGAAGTCCGCGCGCACTACGTCCAGCATGTCGACGGGGAACGGCCTGAAGGTGACCGACTTCTCGTACAGGTCGTGCCAAGTGCAGCGCAACTTGCGCGCCTGGTCCCAGACCTCCTGCACTTGCGGGTCGTACTGCACGACGATGATGTTTTCGAAGTACGTGCCCGAGCCGGATTCAGCGCCGTAGCCGTACAGCTCGTTCTGCGTGTTGCCGGCGGTGCCGCACGCGTGTATACTGATCTCGAAGTTGACGGACTTACGGCCCAGCCCGGCCGGCAAATGGACGCAGTTGACGTTGCTGTAGTGGCCCTTGCTGAAGACGATGCCGTAGAACGGCTTGTCGAAGCCCAAGTAGACCTTCATCAGGCTCTTCTCGCACTTCACGTCCAGCGACACGATCTTCGGCATGTCGGGCGTCGGCGCCGGCCACGGCTCGACGCCATCCGCCGTGCTGACACCGCCGGCGGTCGTATAGATCTTGTCCATCGCTTCCGCTGGCGCCTTGGAAGGCGGTAACGGCGGCGGTGGGCCGTGATAGGCGACGTTGTGGTGCGGACGCGGCAAGCTCAGCGCGCCCCGACCAGGTGGTAGCAGAGGGTGACCCCGGAGACCGGACTTGTAGTGATTTCCATCCTTATCCCCCAAGCCGTCCAACGCCAATTGGTCCGAATTGTTCAGCTCATTGTCTTGGCGATTCAGCGCTGAATTGTCGTTCCGAGTGTCTTCCCCCGAAATCGCTTCCACGACCTCCACCTCTTCGGCACGAGCCAGCTGTAAGAACATGAATGGTCACGCGTCGTTGGGGACATTTGTAAACCAGTGAGTCTCGTGGCAGGGTCTTTAACAGCAGGAAGAAATCACTCGTTGTCTTATGGTTTGTTAGCGCTCCTTTAACGTAATCGCCACTCTCTCGTGCACGCTTTGTGCTACGATGAATAGATTTGCTTCTCCTCTCGCTTCGAGCTCCGAGAAGAGTGCTGTGAGTGATAAATGCGAAAAAAGCGAGACGAACAACGCACAATTAACGTTTTTACTGCAATTCCAACTGCAAAGCCGCATGTGGGGCTTTACCGCAGTACATCGTGGAGGGGAAGCGCTCGCTAGCTGTATTTCGCGTGAGTTTCGGAACGCATTCGTCTTGTTCAATGAGAGAATTCTCCCCATTGGAAAATAAATGCTCCCATTGGCCGAGACAGATGCGTTCCGGAACTCGTCCGAAAATACCGGATAACCTCTTTCTTTTTGTCCGTGGCCATACCCTGACGAAGGAATCATCGGATGTGTATCGCTGGAAATGTCCGTCGCCGACTTTCTAGCGGGTTTTGGACAGATAAGAAACCCGCGTTTGGTTATGAGCTTATCTGCACGTTTATAGGTTAGAGTTCGCAGATAACTCGAATATTTCATTTTCAGCGAGTGTCATATCGAAACTATATGTAAATCAAATGAGAAAATATTTTCTACAAGAAGGTAAAAATAAGAGTAATTTTTTTGTTTCTGTTTTTGATTTAGAAATGTTATTGTTATTGATTAAATTGTCCAAATATGCATGAAAGTCTAAAGAATATTATTACTACTAAAAATATACTCGTGCGTTGAATGTAAATCACCGCATATATACGGATAAATTTTAAAAATATATTTATATTTGAAAAACGCGCTAATATATCAACGACTTTTTACACATTACACGTCTGTTCAGAGAATGATCATCTCTGCAAGTTTGCATTTCTGTCGAAAAAATTCTTCTGGCATTTTATATCTTTACTTTCTGTTGTTTTACAATCCCGTCTTTTGTAAGCTTCAGAATGAGGCTTTAACATTTGCTAGGTCAAAATTTATTGATCTTCCGTTCTCTCATTATGCTTGGATACAATGTAACATAATATAATAGAATATAATACGCTGTGTCTCGAAATGGTTAACCAGGTAATTATTAATCAGATTATTAGCCCTTAATTGGCCGGATAAAATAAGGATTAGCCAAACAATCAACATTCATAATGCACGCACATGCAAACACAATGCGAACCATCGGGACTAATGAGGTTTGGCTTAGCAAATGTTAGAGCTTTATTGAAGCTTAATGTACGCTCAATTTCGTCGTTGAACGCGTGAATAATGAATAACAGCAGCTCAGTCAGCTTTGCCATCTATTCTTTTCCGCTGAATTGGGTTGCACTGGGTTACACTTAGGATAAAACGAGTGTATAATCTAGTGTTGAAGGAATAAGGGACAAAGTTCCAGTGCCGCAACAATTCAGCTAAAAACGGCAGGCTTATTGCGTAATCAATTGTATCCTATGTTGACAAAAAGTAACAATTAATAAAAGAAATCTGTTGTTATTCTTGAGCATATTAAAACAGGGAAACAAGAGCTGCTGCTTGGTAACGACGAGCTGTCCATTAGCTTTCCGAGCAAGTTGCAAAGTCACTGCAGCGGCGTTTCGTCCTGAAAAAGATCTCGTTTATCGAGGAGCCACTAGAGTAGCAGGTAGCGAAAGGATTAAAACACATAAATACATGCCACGATTATTTACTAGAATGGAACTTACCCTGGAACAAACCACATATATTTGACGTCTTTGCCGCGACATGTTCCCGAACGATTCCACGAGACCGACGAGCGCGTCGTCGCGAGCGTCTTGATGTGTCGGGGCCGTGTCGGTTTATGCACTAATTTTTGCGCGCCGGGAAAAAACGAAGCAGAAGAAGAAGAAGAAGAAGAAGAAGAAGAAGAAGAAGCACGGCCAACGGCGCAACGGTATCCGTTTCTCACGCGCTCAATGGGGAAACCTAAATATGTCAGGCGCGGCGGAATCACGATGCGTCGAGAAATGCGGCGGGCTCGGCTCGATTCCCTCCTGCCTTCGATTATCGCCGGACAAATGGAGCGGCCGTCGAAAGAGTTATTTCCGGTGGCGCGGGACAGCGAGACGCGCGCACGGAGGGCTCCTCCGTGAGGAGACGGCAGCGGACGACGACGACGACGACGACGACGATGACAAACTCGTTCGGAATACCCGACGAAGCAGGCTTTCGCGGTCGATCTTCGATCGGGACGACCGCACGATGCTCCACGGATGCCGGAGGTGAGGTCACGGTAGCGCAGCGGGGGCAGAGGGGAGGAGGACGGGCTCCATCGACGAAATAGGAGCATCGAGAACGTGTATAGAACTGTATAGTGGCTGTATTGCGTCACGCGTGACCTTAGGGCATAACGGACCACCCGTGTCTTTAGCCGCGGGTCAATCGGCCAGCTCCGCGCTTCGGCTACGCGCGCACACATTCAGCTCTCTTTCTCGCCCCTACCGCCTGTCGTCGTCGTCGTCCACTTGTCCCGTCGGCTGGATTTTCGCAGTGTGCGCGCGTCCCATAATTCGACTGAGACCTACTACTGAGTCATTCGCCGCGGATCTCGGCGATCCTCGATGAAGACGCCGCCGTCCGCAACACCTGGCCCGTGCCGTGCCGTCCGTGAATGGTGAACCGTGTCGCGCGTTACGTCGCGCCATGTTACGTCAAACGCGTTCCCGCCGGCCGACCCAGCCCCGACGGTCGACGACTAGTCGACGTATTGAACGTTGTTCACACGCACGAGAACGGTGCGTCTGGGGTCTCTGGTTAGGGTGATCGATGCTGAGATACATCGCGATGATCCGTCGCCGTATGGACACGTGAGAAATGGACTCGATCGAGCGACTCGGTCTCTATTGTTCTTCAGTGAAAATTCCTCTCTCTTCTTCTGCTGTTGCGCCTTCTTGCATGCATCAAGTGCCAGTACATACGTCAGGACGTATTGGAGACAATACAACATTGGAGGCAACGAGGCGATGGTAACCAATGCTGGGCCGGGATAAACGAGACAATAGGACATAAAAAAGTAGACGCGAGTATGAAATAGAAATAAGGTGACTGTCCCGATTAGCGATCGAGTAATCTCACCCCCGTAAATGTATTGATAACCAATAAATTAATGAATTAGTACAAATATAAGTACACAAAGTTAATTTGGTTGGAACATTTGGGGTTGTACTTTCCTCATTTATGGAAAGGTTTTGTGATTGATTTATATTTTTTGAGTAATGACCGGAATATCACTCGATAACATAATAGTTGAGTTTCGAAGAGTTTTAAGGTTAAACACACAGATCTGACAAATAAACATCTGACATTGACTATCAGTTTCTAAGATGTCGAGGAGATAAATGTCACAAATTGCATTGGTGATATTTATCTCACGAAGAATTTTGTAACATCTACAAACGATTATATTTCGGCATAGTGGACGCGGTTAATGCGTCAACCCGCATAATTTAATATACAATTGACAACAAATAGAAAAATAGTAAAAGAGAGAGAGAGAGAGAGAGAGAGAGGAAGGCAGAAAAAAGTTAGTTATTTAGCGCTCTGGGAAAATTCCCCTCAAGCGCACAAATTCAACACACAGGAAGATAAGTACTGAACTTACAGAACTGTACAGTTCAGTACTGAATTTACAAAATTATTGTTCATGGTGATTGTAAATTATGCATACATAGACGCGGTGTGGAAATGCAGGTGTATGCTAATCGTACGAGCGGATATTCTAGATTAATGCATATAAAGTTGTGAAATTCTGACGAGTCCCCGAGATATGTATAAAGGAACAGTAGAACCTGATGAGACGAATGTTAACTACCAATGCGCTGAGATAAAAATAAGGCAAAAATAAAAAATTAAGAGAGAGAGAGAAAGAGTGGAAGAAAAGAAAGGTGTGAGAGAAATTGATAAAATAAATGCTAACAATATGCTAAGGTGAAGATGAGACAAAAATCCGACAAAGATATGACAATAGTGAAAGAAGGAGAGACAAAGAGAGAAGAGAGATGATCTATCGACGAGGAAAGAAAAATATGCCGATTCTAAAGAATAAAGAAAAGAAAGAGAAGAAAGATAGGGGAGGTGTGAGAGGGACCGACAAAATAAATGCTAACAATACGCTCAGATGAAAATAAGGCAAAAATCCGATAAAAAACATGACAATGGTGAAAGAAAGAGGGACAAAGAGGGAGAGGGGGGACGATCCATCGGCGAGGAAAGAAGAATGCACCGTTTCCTCGCGGTAACGCGGTAACGACCGTTCATTCATCCCGCTCTATCTTGCCGCGACTCTTATAAGGCTAACGATAATCGTCGTACGAGACATCGAGCGCAAAATGAAGAAAAAGAAGAAGAAGATGATGACGACGACGATGACGACGACGACGACGACGGCGCGGACCCATCGAAAATCGTGTCGGGCCACAGGAATGCAGGACGAAAAGGATATATCGACAATCGCGCGCGCGCGCGCGCGAAGAAACCGGTCGTCCCGCGCGCGCGGAATTTTTGTGCACCACCTTGTAAGAGAGCGGCCTCGACGACGCGCTCGGCGGCGGCGGCGGCGGCGATGCGATGCGATGCGATGCGATGCGATGCGATGCGATGCGATGAAACGTTACTCGAGAACAGTAGACAGCGGACGAGCCGGATTGCCGCTCGCTCGCTCGCTCGCTCGCTCGCTCGCGCAGCGAGCACGCACCATTTCGAGACATCGCCGGGGCCGGGCGGCGGAGTCGCCCTTAGCTCTGGGTCAGAGCACTGGGTAACGGCATTGCCGGGCCGCGGTACCCGCCGTGATATCTGGGTTATAATGTAGTAATTACCTACGCAGACGCGCCGACCTATCCCCCGCGCCCGAAAGAGATCCTCGCGCGTTAACCGGGCGACCGTCTCGGACGAGGTCTCGAGAGCCGACGCTACCTTGCGTCGAGTGCGCACATGCGTATGTGTATGTGTGTGTGTGTGTGTGTGTGTGTGTGTGTGTGTGTGTGTGTGATGTGTACGCGCGCATGTATGTGTGTGTGTGTGTGTGTGCGCTGCAGCGCCGCGAGTGTCGTTGGGCTCGTCTTTCTTTCGCTCTTTCGAGTACGAACGATCGGCGCTTCGGCGGATGGACGCCGTTACCGCGATCGATCGATCGATCGGTCGGTCGATCGATCGATTGGACGATCGGAGAAACGACTCCGCGTGATTCCGCGTCGGTCCTCCTTGGTGCATGAGAGACGCGCTCTCTTAACACGTCGACTGCCATAGAGGTCATGAAGGTGATGGACGGTGATAAGAACTGCCTTTTAGCAATTTGTGTATAAGACGGGAGCAATGCCGTGTGTGATCAATTAACTACGCAGCCAATGGGCTCGATAAAATGACTTGACAACTGTACATATCATGAATGGAGAAATAAACACATATTTAGCATAGTCATGTCATTTTAGAGCTCCCCTCAAGAAAGAAACTCGTTGCAGGCTCGAGGGAAATATAATTTAAAAACTGCAGAACTCTTGTTTCAATTTCAAGAAACTCCAGGCGTTAATTTTAACATCTTAATTTAACAGTTTAATTTAACATTGTTATCGTTAATTTAACATTTTTCATATCTTGAGTTACATGTACAGGGTGAGCAAAAAGTCCTAGACCGGTGAAATATCTCGAAAATCAAGCATCTCAGAAAAAAATGTTTCGAACAAATCGACTTTTAACTTATCGACTTTTGGAAATTTAAAAATCATCAAATTAATAGAAGTCAGAGCGCTAGTAATAATATAGACTAAATAGAGTAAAAAGATCTAGTACCACTTTTTCTTTCGACAAATAGTTAGCGAGATAACGTAAGTTAAATATTGGAAAAGTTATCAAGTTTTCCTTAAATATCTAAAAAAATATTAGGTAAATGAAAAAATGTTTCAAACAACAGTTGTTCAAATTAATTGGTAGAAAATAATGATATAATAAAAAATTAGTGATTCCATTTAAGAAAAGTAATGATTAGTGAGTATCTCGAAAGTGGCGTTATCTGTAAACAAAATGATATAGTTGTTTTATGTCCCCCTTAAAACCATACAACTTTTGTTCGAAGCGTTTTTTCTAAAATGCTTGGTTTTCAAGATATTTCACCGGTCCGGGACTTTTTGCTCACCCTGTATATATTGGTTCAATTGACTTTTGCGTTTATTTTCATTATATATGTATATAAAGGCTTTATAATTGTATACAATTAATAAGACGAAAAAATAAGACGAAGATTTCATCGATAATCCAACTATAGTGTTCTCTGAAGCCAGTAAATAATTAATGAAGACCAGCATGGCAGTCAATGTGTTAATACAGTCTGTAAAGTAAGAGCGTGCACGGCATAAATGACAGTTGGCTTCAAATATCGTCCTAATTTTTTTGTGAGCCGATAGATGAATCTTTCTCGTGAATGCTTTGTCACAAAAGATTCAGTCGGCGTCGAAATCTAACCTGAGAAACACGTTAACCTCCATGAGTGCCGCATACGCATCGCGCTACGAGGCTGTGTTCCTTTGTTCCCACCTCAAAGGATCAAAAATGTCATATGCAGTGGCTGCTAAATACATGGGAAAGTCAAAATCGTTCGTCGCTAAGTGGGTTCAGCAATATAAGAAGATAAAAAATGTCGATGACTTGCCAGAACGTGGCTCGATAGGCAAAGTGACGCCGAATATGGAAAAAAAAATTGTGAATTTGTTTAAGCGGAACCCGACTTTAATGCTTAAAATTTATGAGAAGTGTTTGTTGCCGACTGCTGAACGATGCTTCATAAAAAACAACGAAGACTGGATCTTACAGAGAAGACAACGACCCAAAACACCGGAGCAAGCTTTGCACCGAGCGGAAAGAGCAGTCTGGCATCGTCACACTTGATTGGCCATCGCAGTCGCCAGAGGCAAATCCCATTGAAAATGTGTGGGCATATCTCAAGCACAAGCTTCGAGGAAAAAGAGTGTGCACTTTGAAGCAGCTGACACGACCAATTCGTCTCATTTGGAGGTCTTTACCGAACGAATACGCAGTCAGCTTAGTGGAAAGTATGCCTCGGCAGATGCCAGGCAATTATCAATGCCGGTAGTGACTGGACTCATTATTAATGGTATAGCATTTTTCTTCTCATGGAGTGGACAACAAATCCATGTACTTAAAAATCATTAAAAATAAATTTTTCTACACATCAACCCGTGCACGCTCTTACTTTACAGACTGTATATTGTTCTCTCTTACACCTCACAAAATGGCAACGCGAGATTCATGAAAAAGATCTCAACTAGATCTCTGCCTTTCTTAAAAAGTTTTCCGAAAAAGAGAGAAAGAAGGAAAGAGAGATAAAATTGTACACTCACCCCCTTTAATAGGAGACAGGCTAAGACGTAAATGCGTAACTGCATACCGCGTTGGCGTCCACGATAAAACTTTACTCGTGTCACTGAAAAGAGATTCGATCGTGTTGAAACATCTCACACACATTGTGATATATATATATATATTGTAAAAAAAAAATTACAATGTAACACTCGATTCTGTAACGCCGGTTTTAAGCGCCAGACAAATTCCCACGCGCGTCCCTCACACTCGATTCCTCGAGAGAGAGAGAGAGAGAGAGAGAGAGAGAGAGAGAGAGAGAGAGAAAGTACGAGAGAGTAACGACTGCGATTTATTTTGCGATATGGGACGATATAAAACGAACAGGATTAAATGTCAAACAGTATCACGACCCACCTGTAATGATAATCGTGACGATCGGCTGCCGATCGTGCCACTAAACCGAGAGACCGGTCGTCGCAGTAGCAGTCCGTCAGCAGCAACGATCCTGAGAGCGATCTCCTCCTCGTCTCGGCGTAACCTCCGACCGCTGGGACGCAATCGCAAACTGTAATTAGAATTTTACCGAGTCCGCAATTAGACGGGAGAAAGAGAAAGAGGGAAGTCCCCGAAGGAGCCTCGGCTGCGGCTAGTTTCGCGATCGGAGAAAGTTTTACGAGACGATCGCGAATTAGACGCTCTTGTTTTACGATCACGATGTTCATTTCCGCCTCGGCGGTAAGTAAAAAATACATTCGCCTAAAAGAGACATCCACGAGCCGTTGTCGGACGTTCCGCTCGTGTTTGATCGCCAATTATCAGGCAACATGTTCGCCTCGCGCAACCACTAGGCCACCTGTCCCAAATTCCTCTCGAATGTCCGGGTTTTCGCTCCGTTACCTCGTTGCGAACGCGGAGCCGTGGCCGTCGTCGCGTTGTCTATCGGCGCGACTCGAATTTGTTAGTCGCGGAATCGCATACATGCGTCTGATGCAGACGTGCAAATTTTAATTGCAGCCCCTACGGTACGTGGGATGGCGACGAGTAACGAGGCAATCGCCGGAATCTCCTTTTAGAAACTTCGAGAAATGGAGAGAGAGAGAGAAAAAGATAAGTGCTTCTTTGACTCTACTTGATCTCTAAGAAAGAGAATACAGAAAGGAGATTTCCATGAAAATCTTTTAGGGTTACATAAAATAAAAATAAAAAATAAAATAAAAATGAGAAAAGAAGAGAAAGTAAAGCAAAGAAGAAAACAAAATGAAATTAAATGAATTACAGTGCGCAGACTCGTTCAGTTTGAGACAATAACGGAAACAGCAATTTTTTTCTTAATAAATATTTCACCTTGCTATATGCATATAATTATATAACAAATTTGGTTTAGCCGTTAATATTTTCCATGCATTTATAGACCATGTTTGATGATGGTTTGACATTCAAGAGTTTCTTCAAAATTCAAGAGAGAGAAAGAGGAAGAGAGAAGAACAATACAGTCGACAACGAACCTCCTTTGGTACCAAACAAAGTCTGAGCCGAATAGGAGAAGAAAATGTTTGAAAGAAGAAATTGTTTAAGAAAAATATGAGAAACATATTTTAGGTAACCAGAAAGGTCCACGCGGTTTTGTATATTAAAAATTAAACAAGGGCGGAAATTTTCAGAAAAAATGTTATAATTGATATATGAATAAATAATTGGTAATTCTCCGTTATCCGTAATAATGGAAGTTCTCCCTGAACGTGGTGCATCTTCAAGTAGTTCATTTGAACCACTTTAATGCGGTCCATTCTTGTAGCACATCTTACGACATGCTTCCGCAGCCTTAGACCCGAGTTTAAATTCGTAAAGCAAACTCGTATTCAAATTACGCTCGATTCAACGGACATTTGAAAAGGGTAAATAATCGCAAAGTCGACAACTCGTTGCATCGAACTCAAACAAAAACCGCACGAACCTTTCCAATCACCTGATATTCATCTAAATAAAAAAACGTTCCCATACGTGCAACGTCAACGGCGACGCGCAGCGATAGCAAGAGAAAGAAATTCCAAATGTGTAATATAACGCGGGTCCGTACGGTCGCTCTCGCTCTCTTCGGATTTTCGAGGATCGTCGGTCCTCGAACTAACGCGTTGCTAATCGCTCGCAACGTTGCAGATCTACACATCCATCTTAAAGTGGACCGCTGGTCCAGCAGTCAACCTGGTTCCTCGACGTTCCCGAAGATCGGCTTTCTTCCCAGATTTCATGGCGTCAACAGTCCAAATTACACGGTTACACAAAAGTCTCTCACTTGAGGTGTGCTATTGCGGCTCACGGAAGAATGAACGATACTCGAAGCGGCACTCGCAAGTCGGTTAACAATGCCAAGTGTTGAGAGAGCCGGCCGGCTGCCAGACAGCTGGATCGTTTTCCGGTTTCGATAATATAATGACGAGGATAATACGCGAGCGCGTTCTCGGCCGCTTTCACGCGCACGAGAGAGAAAAGCCAATGAGAGAAAGATCGCGAGACGATACCGTCTGTGCGATAACGTAGCAGCCGAAGTGGTGCCGAAGAGGAGGAGGCACGCTTGGCGCTCTATGAATGTAGGCAAGTAGGCTCCCGCCGATCAACGTTCGGTCGCACGCTCGCGCACGTGGAGCCGAAGTCGAAAGGACTAACCGGTTAGCAGCGGCAGTCGGGCGCGGCCGCCGGCTATTCGTCGTCCAATTTGCGAGTCCGGTACGTCGTTCGTGTGACAGGTCGTCGCATTAAGAATTTAGCGGTCATACTGGACCGCCGATCCGATCGACCCCCTCGAGCTGCTGCAAAAACCTCTGCTCTGAAAAAAAATGGCGAGAACAGGTCCGTTATGGTGACTCCGTCCGCCGCCGATAATATGGACATCGGGAACCCGCTTCTCCGCCACCAAGGCGGTTCCATCGGCGAACAGCCGACAAGGAGGAGGAGAATACGTCGATAGTACTCTTGAGTAGAATCAATCGGGAAATGTGACTTTTCGTTGGCGTTTAATCTCTTTTTCGTTCTTTTTCTTTCTTTTTTTTTCTTATCGATTGTCTGTCACTGTTTTGATGACGACTGCTCGCCGCGATAACGAAGTCTGCGATGGAACCAAGTGCGAAATAGAAAGGCATAAGCAGTGGAATTTAAACGGTAAATAAAATCGATGACAGTCGAGTGTTCCTTTTGTCCAAGAGCATTTCGTCGCGACTCGATCGATTTCTCTACTGCTTGAAGCTGGATTCTCACTATTCGTCTACGTGGGAAGAAAATATATAAGGGAATTTTCTGTGTTGATTGAATTTTTCGCTCGGGCGAAAATTATTATTTAACAAGAACGGAAAGATTCTTGGGAGAGATTTTTACTTGGTCGAATGCTCTCGGTTATCCCAGTTTTAATATAAAATGTAACGAATGTTCAGAATATTTTCAATCGCAGTGACAAAGAGGATTCATCTTCCGTCATTGGGTTTTCGTCGGGTCTTCATTCGATTACACGAACTGAATTTTTTTCAATATAATTTCAGCGGCAAACGAGACTCCGTCAATCCTACGTCAAAACATTCTTCAATGCTTTTGCATTGAAACATTCACAGTAATTTGATGGAGGTCTGACGGGCTCCCATCTGCCGCCGTTTACACAGATGGTGGAAATTCGAGTCCCTCTGCTTATGTGTTTTCTATGTACTTTTGACCTAATAACCTCTGCTGAGCGCGGTTCTGCCGAAAAAAAAGCAAAAGGAAAGATGTGTCAATAATCGATGGAAACCGATTACGAAAGGAATCAATCATGAAACGTGTTTCACACATTCGTTGCTCTTGACTTTTCAAAATCAATCGTCCCAAATTGTGTCTCGATAACAATTGGAGCCAACAATGGAACTAACTCTGGGACAATAATAGTTACCGCGGACAATAATCATCTCCGACAAATATGATTCTGTCGAGAAAAAGTCAAAAAGAAAAACGTATCGATATTCGAGGAAAATTCGTTAGCGCTTGACTTGTCGAAATCGACTGCTCCAAACTGTTTCAACGAAATGTGTTAGTCACAATGATAATAAAACTAGCAGTAGCTCGTGGGACTGATCGTAAAATAGTTCGATAATTATCAAACAATAATAATTTTTCGCAAACGCGGTTCTGTCAAGAAAACGTCAAAAAGAATATTTCGATATTCGAAGAGAATCGATCGATGAATCGCCAAACGCGTTTCGTTCGTTGACGTTTTCGAAATCGACTATTTCAAATTGCCTCAACAATGCGTATCCATTGAGATAACAGAGAAAGATACAAACTATAGAATGATAATAATTACTCTGAGAAAATAAATCTAAAATAATATTTAAAATAAAATAATATACGAAAAAAGTGAAAAGATAAAATTTAGAATTTAGCCATTAATACATATTTTATCTTTAGAATTTAATAATTAATATATATGTATTTAATAATTTATAATTAATACTCTCAGATTATTATTTGAATGAAATAATAATCTGAAAAGTAAAACATATTCGACGAATATTAATAACATATTTGTTTATACTAGTCCACGTATACCTTCACCGAGGAAAAATTATTCCCAAACCAGGAAATTACATCTTCTCGAAGTGGCAGTTTTTTTTTTATGAAAAAGTCGTTGTTTATTCTATTTAAATAAAAGAATTGAGACTTAATACGTTATTATTACTCGACGAACAAACATCTCTCATTCTTTAGATACTTTTCTTCTCAATATACCGTAAAGAGTTTCTGACAAGCATCGAGCAAAAAATCGAAAAAAAAGAAGGATGCGTCGATCCTTGAAGAAAATCAACGCGTCTCCTGTCGGCGCTTGACTGCAATCGACTATCTCACATCGTGTCGACAACTCGTGTCCATCCATGATAACCATTGCGACAATGGCTCGTGGGGCTAACCGTGGAATAGTAATAACTATCGCGAACATCAGTTACGGGGAAGAGCACACACCGCGAGAGAATCCCAAAGTTCGTTAGCCCGCATTGCGCGCATTAGCCGGTAGCCCGCTGTTGCAATTCGTGTCACGATAAAGTGCGACACCTGTTCTCTCGTTGTCTCTCTCTCTCTCTCTCTCTCTCTCTCTCTCTCTCTCGCTCTTTTCCTCTCACGAGAGATTGTACACGAATAAAAATCACCGTCGGCTGTTTACACGTCTCCCGTTCCGCGTTAACCGCGGAATCGGGCATGCCGAAGCCGTGGCGTAGCGCCAAATACATATAACGGTTCCGTCGGTGTGTGGCGATTCCGAAGTCGGGCGTTCGCATAACAAGTACCTAATAGCGACCCATATAGCGACGAGCGCGCTGACTTTTCCGTCTCTCCCCGTCCCCCTTTGCCCTCTTATCGTCGCCCGCCAGAGATCCCGCGGCGTTGCGTCGCGCGTTGAAAAGAGAGCGCGCTGATATCAATAACGAAAAGGAAGCTAAACAGGCAATTAGCATTATAAGAGCGCCTTTCGCATAGACAGCGTTCCTCGACTACGATCTTTCACTTATCTCCTTCGTGTCTCGGCCGTCCGGTTATCCCGTTCGAGAACGA